CTTTGTTTTATACATATATATTTCATCTTTGGAAGTTAACAGAAGCAGTTCTTCTCCTGAAATATAATTTTACAGAATGTAATATTAGGATTGGCGTGATGTGAATGTGTTGATGGGATTAATTAATGATGAATATGGGATAGAGCAGTGACAAGTAGTGAGCGATATTAGTGGACTTCCCAAAAAGGAGGGAGTCACGGTGGCTAAGCGCGTAAGACGCTGGCTCGCTAGCCTAAAAGTCGATTGTGTTCGACTTGGCTTCCCTTTGTCAGTGGTGCAGGACGGAGGGCCTGACAAGGCCAGCTGTATAGTCGTTCTGATGGTGCGAAAATCGAGGTCCCGTCTATACATTGGCATGCACGTAAAAGATCCCTGGGCAGTTGGAATTCAATATAAGGTTTGGCCATAGTGCCGCTCCCGCCGGCGTAAATTGTCCCTCGTTGCACACTGTATGGCGTATGCCTGTGTTCATTAGCCCCGTTGGAGCAGAACAGTAGGACGTTAAACCCTATTTCATTTCAAAAGGGAAACCAAAGGATGTACATTTAATAAAACGATAGGCAAATGTCTCTCATAGTACAATATTTATGATGAGTTCACAGGCTGGTGTGTTGTTATTTTATATGGCAATAGTAAATGGCATGAAATGGGATTCAGTGACATACTTTGCTGCAATGGCCGGGCTTATAAATACCGGCATACACCATACACTGTTCTGTGGAGGACATGAAGATGAAGAGACTCCTACAGTAGATTATATATTGATGTGATATATCTTTTGGAACATGGTGCTGATGTACATTTGGTTGATGTAGGTCAGCTCGAATAAGTTATTGCACATGTTTTTAAGCCACAGCAGTTGATGTCGAGGACAAAGGGTATGGTGTTACCGAGTGTTATTAAGTTAGCATATGCTGGTGTAGATGTCGACCATCTTAATAGTTGGACACAGATGTCTATGAGTATAGCTTCTGGTTGTGTAGATGATGGACATATTGTAAAGAGAGCGACAGACAGACAGCGAGAGAGAAGAGACGGAGGGGCCGTAGAGAGAGAGAGAAATGGGGTTTAACGTCCACTCGACGCAAACTAGGTCATTTCGAGACTAACATATGGTTCAATTTTATTTAAATAATTCGCTTGCGCGTAGGGGTCTTTAGCTGGGGAGGAACCGGAGAAAACCCGCAAGGTTGGGCAGGCGACACTACTCCTTGTCACGTACAACCGGGGAATCGAAACCACGCCAGTTGACTCAATGACAGGTGTAACCGATTCATAAATCGGGTCAGTTTGTACGTTGGAACAGCCTTAAGTTAATATGATAGAAGAGCTTTTAGTTTAAGGGATAGGTTATTGTTATTGTCTAATAATATGAACTCTCTGGACTGTTGTAATGTTTTTTGATGTATGTTTTTTATGTATATTAATTTATTACGTTATAAACTTCCAGGCTGCGCTACGCTTCGTAAAATAGTAACCTAAAGCATTGATTGTTAAATTGTTTAATATCCCTGCGTAATTAATGCTCCCTGTGTCAGTCTTGCAAATGGCTTTCCTAGAAACCATGTTTTTTCGTTTTTGCGTGTGGTCAAGTTAACAGGCTCTTGGAGGTAAATAATTCTGTAATATTGCATTTGTATGTCATATTTCGTTTAATGTAGTATTCATTTATTTGTCCTGCTAGGTTTTGCGTTGTGTTAAACTGTATTAATTTGTATTTTTCAGTTTTCACGTCTGTGTTACCGGCATGTCTTTTAATTCAAGTCTGGAAGTTCGAGTCTAAGTTGTTTGCGTTCATCATGATTGTATGATATTCTACGTTAGGCTATTTCCAATGTTTATACGATGATATCCTCGTCCGATGTCATGAAGCATTAAAGAGACAATGAATAAAGATATGTATATGGTGTATTACAGTTAGTCGAGTCTCCTTTTCAATCTATGGTGTTATACTCCTGTTATCATGATCACAGGCTGGGTGCGTTCGTCTAGGTCTCCAGCTGCCTCTATAGTGAAAACTCCTCTGCACGGAGTTCGAACACCTTTCGAATGGAATGAAAGGAACTTTATGCGGTAAATATGTAAGTGAACTTTGAAGTTTTCTGACATTAGTGCGTCCTTAGTATTATTTGAAGTGTTCTAAAAATTGCGGCAGTATTGATGAAGAGGACATTATATTTTTTCGTTTGCGCATTGTTTACAATGGCTTCGTCTGCGAGTGATCCAGTTGATCCTACTGATCAGAGTGCATACGGTTCTGTTAAATCAAGATCAGCGAAAAACTCTGAACGTTCATCAAAAAGATCGTCTGTTATTTCATTGAAGTTAATTCAAGCAGCCGAGGAAGCAGCTGTTATTGAACAGAAATTAAAGTATCATTCCATAGAAGCCGAAAAGAAATTAGAACTTGAAAATATTCAGCTACGTAAAGATTTGGATATTGCGAATGCAAAGGTGAATGCTCTTCGAAGATTTGAAAATGAAGATTTTAAAGTTGAATCCATGGTACCAGTATGTGAACAAAATAAGTCAGAACTTGTCGCAACCTTTGTGAATAGTCATAATTTTTCTACAGATTATGGTGATCCGCCTCACTTGTCTCCTGCAGTTAACCCTATTAACCCTGTGAGTTCGATAAGTAAACCTGTCATTCCTGTCAGTTCACCTTTGGTGTCTTTACCGCCGCCCCAAATTCCAGTTAGTGATGTATATAATAATACCCCACCTATGAACAATGCTGATCACTCTCATGCGTCACAGTCCGCTCCTGCCCAAGTTTCTTCTGCTGTACATGTACCTGCCAGTGACTTGGTTCGTATTTTGACAGATCAGGCTAACTTTAATAGATTACCCCCTCCAGAACCAGGTGTGTTTTCCGGTGACCCTTTGAAATATCCAAACTGGAAGTGTGCCTTTAAAACACTGATCGAACATAAGAACATTCCGAAAGAACAATGTATTCATTATCTGCATCGATATATCAGTGGTCCAGCTAAGGAAGCCATTGAAAGTTACTGTCTTCTTGACACTCCGACAGCATTTGAAGATGCAAAGTCATTGCTTGAAAAGCGATATGGCGATCCATTTATTGTGGCTAATGCATTTAGGGACAAATTAGAGGCTTGGCCAAAAGTACCTAACCGAGATGGTCCTGCACTGCGTCATTTTGCGGATTTTCTTAAACAGTGTTACACTGCGATGCGAACAATTAATTGCCTTAATGTACTGAATGATATGCGTGAAAATAGAAAACTGTTAAATAAACTCCCTGATTGGTTGGTGATGCGTTGGGGAAGAACTGTTAGTGATTATAGAAAAAAGAGACAAGAGTTCCCTCCCTTTAGTGAATTTGTTGGCTTTGTGACTGATGAAGCAGACATTGCATGTGACCCTTTAACTTCCATTACATATGCGCCTAATAAGAAAGAACATGTTCCTTCAACAAATCAACGTAGAACTGCATTTTCAACTGAAATAAAGGAATATTCGAGTTATGTTCCAGAAAATTGTGCCTTTTGTCATAGATCAAGTCATTCCATTAATGATTGTACTTTATTCACTAAAAAATCAATGTCTGACCGTAAAGACTTTCTGAGGTCAAACAGATTATGTTTTGCTTGGTTATGTCTTGGGCATGTGTCACGTGCTTGTAAATCAAGACTCAGGTGTAGAATTTGTAATCATTTGCATCCTTCATTACTTCATGGAGATACTGGTCAACCAAGTAGGCCAATGCGTAATGAAAATACTGAAGTCAAGTCTGCTGTTTCGCATACTTTAAGAACTGGGACTGATAAGTGCGCTATGATCGTACCCGTGTGGTTGTCTCACAAAGATAATCCAAGTAAAGAAATTTTGACGTATGCTCTTTTGGATTCTCAGTCCGACACAACATTTGTTTTAGACAAAACATGTGATGCTCTTGACATAGAAGGACTTCCTGTTAAATTGTCTTTGTCTACTATGTTTTCTAAAGACACTCTTATCGACAGTCCTAAACTTAATGGTCTTGTTGTGCGTGGCTATAATTTTGACGTTAGAATTCCGCTGCCTGATACCTATACAAGAGATATTATGCCGGCTAATCGTACTCATATACCGACACCTGATGTGGCGAAGCGTTGGTCATATTTAGAACCCGTTGCAAATAAACTTCAACCTTTGATGAGTTGCGACGTTGGATTGCTCATTGGTTACGATTGCGCAAGAGCTCTAGTTCCACGCGATGTCATACCCCCCGAGAGTAATGGTCCATACGCTGAACGGACAGACTTGGGTTGGGGCATCATTGGTATTGTAGATTTTAATTCGACTAATGAAGTAGATCATATTGGCTTGAGTCATCGCATTATAACTTGTGAAGTGCCTAATTTGAACACTGCGGACATTGATGGTCGACAGGATGTTGTCGATCGCTGCGATCAAGGTCAAGTTCATATTTCGTTTCGCAACAAGATAAAGGAAGTCATCAGTCCAGATTGTATTCTTAAGCTCATGGAAATGGATTTCAATGAACACTTGGATGACTCTTCAATTATGTCTAGTGACGACCGGAGATTTTTGGACATAATGTCGCGAGAGATTCATATTGCGCCAAATGGACATTACGAAATGCCATTACCGTTTCGGAGTTCTGAACCAGTTATGCAGAATAATAAAACTTTAGCACTTCGTCGTTTGTATCATTTAGAGTCACGTCTTCGTAGGGATAAACATTTGCGCTCAGATTACGTAAGTTTTATGGAAGACATTATTGATATGCCGAAAGGGTTAGTGATGATTCGTACATATCTGAACATGTTAATTATATTCCGCATCACGCCGTTTACAACCCAAAGAAACCTGGAAAAATCCGTGTGGTATTCGATTGTCAAGCTAAGTTCCGAGATAAATCTTTGAATGACTACCTGTTGAAAGGACCGGACTTAACAAACGCCTTAGTTGGTGTACTTTGTCGATTTCGGAAAGAACGAGTTGCCTTTATTTGCGATATCGAAAAGATGTTTTACCAGTTTCACGTTAATGTTGAACACCAAGACTACCTTCGATTTCTCTGGTGGAGAAATGGTAATTGTGACTCTAAACCTCAAGAATTCCGTATGACCGTTCATTTGTTTGGGGCTGGGTCATCTCCGGGATGCTCAAACTTTGCTTTAAAACAAGCCGCGAAAGATCACGAGAAAGATTTCGGCACAATTGTCTCAAATTTCATTCAGAAGGATTTCTATGTTGACGATGGTTTAACGTCAGTTTCGTCTGTGAGTGAAGCTATCGACCTAATCAGTAAGAGTAAGGAACTTTTATTGTGTTGTGGAATACGTTTGCATAAATTTCTATCTAATTCAGCAGAAGTTATTGAATCTATACCGTGTCATGATCGTGCGGAAGGAGTAAAGAATCTCGATTTGACTATCGATGATCTCCCAACAGAACGTGCACTAGGGATTGAGTGGTGCATTGAGTCGGATGCGTTCCGATTTCGAATCAAACTTTCGGATAAACCTTTAACGAGAAGAGGTATACTTTCTATTATAAGTTCGATATACGATCCGCTTGGCTTCATATCTCCTTTGTTATTAGTTGGGAAACAAGTTTTACAAGAAATGTGTAGGCTTAACACTGGTTGGGATGATGTGATTCCTGAAGATTTGCTACCACGTTGGCAACGGTGGAGAGATGAACTGTTTAAAATTGAGACTCTTAAGATTGATAGATGTTTCAAGCCTGATGGTTTTGGAACTGTGGTTTCCGTAGGGATTCATAATTTTTCGGATGCGAGTACATTCGGCTATGGAGTATGCTCTTATTTGCGACTAGTGGATGCTAATCAAAGTGTTCATGTTTCATTAGTCATGTCGAAGTCCAGAGTGACTCCGTTGCGAGCTATAACTATTCCACGTCTTGAACTGACTGCAGCTGTCGTTGCTGTCAATGTGAACTTACTTATTAAAAAAGAATTAGGATACCCTACAGTTGCTCAATATTTTTGGACTGATAGTCGTGTCGTATTACTAGTATTAGGGTATATAAACAACGATGTTCGTCGCTTTCAAACATTTGTTGCAAATCGCGTCCAGAAAATCCGAGATCATTCACAACCGAGAGAATGGCATCATGTTACAACGAAAGCAAATCCGGCGGACATAGCGTCTAGGGGCGCATCTGCTAATGACTTAGTTGAAAATTCAATGTGGTTTAAAGGACCAGAGTTTCTGTGGAAATCTGTAATACCGGATGACAAGGAAGATTATTCGAGTATCGCCTTTGAGGCAGATGATCCTAACATTCGTAAAATTAACTCTTTCGCTCTGAAAACCGAGAACAGTTTTGATGTGATGAGACTGAGTTTTTGTTCTAGTTGGTTTCAACTTAAAAAGGTTATTGCCTACTGTTTACGTTACATGTCTATTCTTAGAAATCGAATTGCTAAGGACACTAATATTGAAAATCCTGTTGGACCTTTAAGGGTTAACGAACTTAATAAAGCAGAAATTGTGTTATTGAAGCTAGTTCAATCAGAAGTTTTTAGTAAGGAGTTGGAAACTTTGCGATCCGTGAAACAGCTTTAAAATGAGTCTAATAGAAATGACATTCGTTTGCGTCGGAAGTATATACAAAAGAATTCAACTTTGAGTAAGTTAGATCCATTTTTGGATGATCATAACCTTTTACGAGTTGATGGACGACTTGGTAACTCAAGACTAAGTTGTGCTGAGAAATACCCAATTATTATGCCGCGTAAGTCTTTCGTGACAGAACTTTTAATTGCTCATCATCATGAATTGTGTGAACACCAAGGTCGTGGACTTACTGTGAATGAACTTCGTTTAAACGGTTATTGGATTCTGGGATGTACCAGTGCGGTTTCGGAATACATTCATAAATGTGTTAAATGTAGGAAATTGCGTGGTCGATGTCAAGACCAGAAGATGTCAAATCTTCCCGAGGACAGATTGGAATCCACGGCGCCCTTTACGTATTGCGGAGTTGATTGTTTTGGCCCTTGGTTGATCAAAGAGGGGCGTAAAGAACTCAAGAGATATGGTGTTCTGTTTACCTGTTTAAATTGTCGCGCGATTCATGTAGAGACTGTCAATACCATGACTACTGATTCTTTTATCAATGCGTTGCGTAGGTTTTTAACATTTCGTGGTCCAATACGAGTGCTTCGGTGTGACAACGGGACTAACTTTGTTGGAGCTAAGCGAGAGCTTAAGGATGCTTTCAAAGAGATGAATCATCAACACATCCGACAGTTCCTGCTTAAACGTAGTTGCGATTATTTCGAGTTCAAGATGAACGTCCCTTCTGCCAGTCACATGGGAGGCATTTGGAAACGGCAAATCCGTACCGTACGCAGTATTCTTTCTTCATTAATGGACCAATCCGGTACTCAACTAGATGACGAGTCACTTCGGACATTTATGTGCGAGGCAGCTGCAATCGTAAACAGCCGACCCTTAACGACTGATACTTTAAATGATATCAATTCTTTAGAACCTCTCACGCCTAACAATCTATTAACTATGAAATCAAAAATTCTGTTACCACCACCTGGTAATTTTCAACAACCTGACGTTTACTCTAGAAAACGTTGGAGACGAGTACAGTATTTGGCTAATGTTTTTTGGTCCCGTTGGCGAGTAGAATATTTACAGAATCTACAAACTCGACAGAAGTGGACTCAACCCATTCGAAATGTTCAAGTTGGTGACGTTGTTTTGATTAAGGATGCTGAATCTCCCCGAAATAGTTGGAACTTAGGAAGAGTTGTTGTTGCGGATCCAGACTCAGATGGACATGTGCGAAAGGTGAAGATTATGATTGGTGATCGTGCGTTGGATGATAACGGAAAGCGAGTTAATCCTATATCATACCTGGATCGTCCAATTCATAAACTAGTTGTTTTATTGGAAAACTAGACCGGGGTGTTCCCCATCGAGGAGCCTTCGTTTTTGCGATTACGATTACGTCAGTGCGTTGCGGGACATTTTGTTGTTCTATCTTGCCATACATATAGATGTAGGCCTATGTACATTTTCGTTGCGATTTGGTTAGTGCGATACGAATATGGGAATTCGAACATTCTGTAATAATTGTCAATTTTAGTCTTGGTAATGTGCGTATATTTATGTACATGTAACATGTAATATCTTTCTGCGCAGATTGCAGAGTGTCTTGTCATGCTTCATTTTATGAAAATTAAATGTCTTTAATTTTGAGGAGCCATGTAACCGATTCATAAATCGGGTCAGTTTGTACGTTGGAACAGCCTTAAGTTAATATGATAGAAGAGCTTTTAGTTTAAGGGATAGGTTATTGTTATTGTCTAATAATATGAACTCTCTGGACTGTTGTAATGTTTTTTGATGTATGTTTTTTATGTATATTAATTTATTACGTTATAAACTTCCAGGCTGCGCTACGCTTCGTAAAATAGTAACCTAAAGCATTGATTGTTAAATTGTTTAATATCCCTGCGTAATTAATGCTCCCTGTGTCAGTCTTGCAAATGGCTTTCCTAGAAACCATGTTTTTTCGTTTTTGCGTGTGGTCAAGTTAACAGGCTCTTGGAGGTAAATAATTCTGTAATATTGCATTTGTATGTCATATTTCGTTTAATGTAGTATTCATTTATTTGTCCTGCTAGGTTTTGCGTTGTGTTAAACTGTATTAATTTGTATTTTTCAGTTTTCACGTCTGTGTTACCGGCATGTCTTTTAATTCAAGTCTGGAAGTTCGAGTCTAAGTTGTTTGCGTTCATCATGATTGTATGATATTCTACGTTAGGCTATTTCCAATGTTTATACGATGATATCCTCGTCCGATGTCATGAAGCATTAAAGAGACAATGAATAAAGATATGTATATGGTGTATTACAGTTAGTCGAGTCTCCTTTTCAATCTATGGTGTTATACTCCTGTTATCATGATCACAGGCTGGGTGCGTTCGTCTAGGTCTCCAGCTGCCTCTATAACAGGCCTTATGATACAGCGCGCACGTGCTAACCATTCGGCCATCCAATCCTTCTCTAATTAATGTATAGTATGTATAGAAAGTGGTTAGAACTTATACAGTGGTAGGGTGCCCCGCCATAAATAAATATCTCCAAATATCTACAAATATTTCGAAAATTATAACTCTATGTGTGTATCATCCTCGGTTACCCAGTGTACTCATTCCGTTCAACTCCACTATACCCTGGGTTAATCCATAGGGTTTCCACGATTTCAAATTATCTGCCCTGGCCTAGAATGTAGCTACAGTTTTCGAACCAATCAGAAAACAGTTTAAACACCAATGGTTTCACCTTCGTTTTTATAAGGGTAGATAACCATATTCATGACCATTTACTGAATGATTTATGTAAATAATGTATATATTTATAATTTATATATATTTATTTGTATTATCAAAATCTGTAGTATGTGTTGTTGAGATCAAATATGGACAACATCTATATGTGTGACTTTTGTTATTATTATTACTATTTGTTCTTTGTCTGAAATATGTCATTCTGTTATGTTTTAAAATTATTGAACTTATACTTGACAATTTGATTCACATTAACTTGCCTACGATATCACGTGGACATAAAATTCCCGGAACGAACGAACAATTCTAAATAAAACTAATGACCCTATATTATTATAAGAACGTCTGGTCTTCATTAACATAATATATAATTAGTTGTTAATAATAACGCATTTAGAATAGGTCAACTCCTTACATTGTCCGATGAGAGTTACTTCCCTTTGCCAATCATCAAGGGCGGATAACTTGAAAACGTGTCTCCCCCATAGATTAACCCAGGGTATAGTGGAGTAGAACGGAATGAATACACTGGGTAACCGAGGATGTGTGTGTATATATATATACAAAACCGTAACTTATCTTATCACATTTATAGTTCATAAATTAAAGGCCGTGTTGTATTTAACAAGTTTTAACCATTTAACATCAATGGAAAAATAGACTGAAAGGGTTTACAAGTGACACCATTAAATCCAGGCATTTTTGAGTGGAAAATAGGTTATCTGCTCGTGATTCTCGTGATTTGAAATTAGTCCCTCTTAACCAGTCTACTGGTCGTTCTCCGACTGATTGACAGGCCGAGATAATCAAGATTATTATCTACGAAACGAAACATTACAGAAAGCTAGATCAATAAATCTAATTTAGATACACCCACGTTAGGCAACTCAACGATTGTTTTGAGAACCTTCTAAAAACAAAAGGAAACTACTACTAGTATGTTATTCTTTGGCCTAACGAAGGGGCTTCGAAGATATTAATTTTACTAAACCAAAAGATGCCGCTGCTAACGTTATAGCTCATAATAAAGCAAATTACTAATTGCACCATACACTGTAATCATCCAACTTAATTCATTATTTACAGAATCTTGGGTCAAGACGTAAGCAAATCTATTAAAAAGCCCAAACCAGCCATTTAAGATTTAGATATCACTTGGTTTCGGACAGATACCATATGAGTTCCTAGAGACTGCCTCTAAATTCTCAGAGAGGATAGACATCGCCTTGGTTCTTTAGACGACCATATGATGTAGCCGTTTCTGGGGTCTAGCCATGCTGGTTAGACTTTTACAAAAGTTGGAGGTGAGAGAAAGATGTCAATTTTAAGTATGCTAATGTTATCTATTATGTAATCTATTATGTAATCTATTATGCATTGTAACCATATGTATCTAGCTTGACATAAAACTGTAGAACTGAACTGTTGCATTGTTATTCCTGGTAAGACAAACGTCCAAACTACTAACTAAGATAGTAGCATACATTGGAGCAAAGGGTAATCATCAGAGTGCCACATGCATTAGTGGTTTGCATTAGTGGCGTGGGCTGAGGGGAGGGGGGACACGGCCCCCTGGATCCGGGCCTGTAGTGAAGTTGAAATCCATTGATTCAGAGGAATAAAAGAAATCGATGGTGGTAACAATAGCCACAGGACTATTTTTACGACTATTCAGTTTTTAAGTTTTTAACTTCGCCGATGGAGGGCTCTGAAAGCATGGTCGTAACAATAGCCTGCGTATAAAAATACCAAAGTGTTTTTTGTTGTTATTTAAGGGGTCTATACACATAATTTTTCGTTTTCCTCATTTGTATATTGTTATGCAGGGGGTTGGATAGGCGAAGGGTTAACGCGTGAGCGTTGCATCATAATGTCTGTCACTGAGTCAACCTGCGGGGTTTCGATTCCCCGGTCGCATGTCTAACCTCGCGGGTTTTCTCCGGGTCCTCCAGTTTCCTTCCACTGCTACAAAACCATACTCACAAGCGAATTATTGAAATGAAAAGGAACCATATGTAAGACCCGAAATGACCTAGTTTGTGTCGAGTCGACGTTAAACCAATTTCTCTCTCCCTTTCTATCATACTTGATAACGACCCCAAGGGAATCGATGCCACCCCAGTTGACTCAATGACAGACCTTACGATATGGCGCTCACGTGCTAACCCTTCGGCCATCCCAAATAGTGAAGGAAGATTGGAAACAAATAGAATTCAACCACACAAAAACACGACTATATTGAGCCTTAAAATTCCGCCCACTGTGGCACTGTGTTGTACAGTCCAGAAATTAATGGTGCCTGTATTGTATTTCTCGTAAAATGTCGTCTGAATATAATATCAAATATACCAGGGCAATGTACAAGACTAGTATAATCTGACTTGTCAAAACAAATTTAATACTGTCTGATTCTAATCACTAATTATTATCCCCCATTCCATTGTAGGCGTAACCATGAGCGTCACACATGGGTGGTGGTGGTGGGGTGCCCCCCCCCCCCCACATTGGGGGGGGGGGGCTGAATATACTTGGACCCCCCCCCCCCCGCCCAAAAAAAAAAAAATAATTACATAGTAGGCCCAAACTCCTATTTATTTACAACAATTATTAGGATTAGTTAAGATTCTATCTGTATAAATCAATGTAAAAATAAAAACACAAACACTTATATGTTTACTTTTGGAAATCCATTTATAATACACAAAATGTACACAATACTTTTAATATCTATACAACTTTCTTGTAAATGTCAATGTGTATATGTATATAATATTGTAGTTAACAAGGTGATTGTCAAATATGCATGATAAACATTGTATTGGTGTGATGTTTTAGTTTAACCCCGTAAAATATGCCAAAACAGTGATTACAAAAGACTGAAACTTTAAAAAAAATTGATGGGGGTATGCCCCCCCCCCTCCCAAACTCTGCTAAAGACCCCTACGCGCAAGCGATTTATTGAAATAAAATTAAACCATATGTTAGTCCCGAAATGACCTACTTTGTGTCTAGTGGACGTTAAACCCCATTTCTCGCTCTCTCTCTCTCTATATCTATTGGCTAAGGTCAGTTTTTGTTGAGATGTAAATAAGGTTAGGGCAAGTGAGGGGGATATATATATAGGTTAAGAGAGAGAGAGAGGGTGACTTGACGCCCACTCGACACAACTAGGTCATTTCGGGACTAACATATACTTCAATTTTATTTCAATAATTCGCTTGCGCGTAGAGGTCTTTAGCAGTCGGAGGAAACCGGAGGCCGCGTTTATTGATTTAGGTGGTAATCGCCCGTGGATATATACACCGGAGTATTTGTTCAATTGTGACATCATTCGAAGAATCAGGAATGACAGTCTACATCTATGAGGGGGCGGGGGAAGGGGGGAGGGGGAAGGGAGCTGAGGTTGGCCAATGGTTTGCACTGAATCATAAGGTCGGTCACTGAGTCAACTTGTTTCGATTCCTCCGGTTGCACGTGACAAGGAGTGGGGTCGCCTGTCCAACCTCGTAGATTTACTCCGGGTTCTCCGGTTTCCTCTCACTGCTAAACACCCCTACGCGCATGCGAATTATTGAAATAAATTTGAATCATGTGTTAGTCCTGAAATGACCTAGTTTGTGTTGAGTGAACGTTAAACCCCATTTCTCTGTCTCTACATCTATGATTAATCTGAGTAATAATCTAAAATCTACGAATATTTGTCTGGATGCGTTGTCAACATCGGAGAATAAAAGGTCATTGGCTAGATTATCCGGTCTGTTACATTATCATAAACTAAGTCTAAGGGAGAGAGAAAGAGAAATGGGGTAGTCCCTTTAAGAGATAGAGAGAGAGAGAGAGAGAGAGAGAGAGAGAGAGAGGTCTTCAGCAGGGGTCATTAGCAGTGGAATGAAACCGGAGGACCTGGAGAAAACCACAAAAGGTTGAACAGGCGACCCTACTCCTTGTCACGTACAACCAAATGGAATGAAATGAAATGAAATGGGGTTTAACGTCCTACTATTCTGCTCCGAACTGGGCTAATGAAGACGGGCATACGCCATACAGTGTGCTTTGAGGGAAATTTTGCCCGGACAGCGGCACTACGACCTACTCTTATATCGAATTACAACTGTCAAGGGATCTTTTACGTGCACGCCAATGTGTACACAAAACAACGGTTTTTCGCCCATCCGAACGACTAGACAGCTATACTTGTCAGATCCTCCGTCCCGCATCACTGACAAGGGGGAACCAAGCCGGAAAATCCCAATGAACTTTCTCGGCCAATGCAAGGATCGAACACCCGACCTCCAGGCTAGCGAACCAGCGTCTTACCCACTTAGCCACCGTGACCCCCAGGGGGAATGGAAACCACGCCAGTTGACACATTGACAGACCTTATGATACAGTGTGCACATCAATGTCTAAGGAGGTAAAACAACCAACCACCCCTTCGCCATCCTTCTTCCTTATCCCGCTTCCCACTTCTCCGTTCCCGTGTCAGGAAAAGCAAAGAAGTGTGCAGCAACCACATTAAAGCATCAACTTAAAGGCTCAATACCACTCTTGTTGTAACTGAATAATATGCCCCAATCTTTATTTTGGTCAACAAATTGTACTATTTTACAATATTCCAATTAATTGATGATACAAATTTCATCTTAACACACCTAATTTAAAAAATTGGAAAAATTCAACTAAATGATTTGAAAAGCCTAACGTAAAACTTTTCAAATATGACTTGGATTTCAAAATATTTTCGAACCCACTGGACAAGTAAAATAGGATGTAATAGATAATTTACACAACTGGTAGGACACTTAAACACCTGATACTTAGAATAAGGCTATTATTTATTTTCTGGAGCTGTCAAGCCAGGAAGAGTGTTATTGTCCCTTTAAAGAAATAAATAACAAGCTAAACATTTTGTTGCAATTTATAATCTTGTGGCAAGTCCATATAAGTAAAGACCTATACAAAGCAAAATCCCTATATGTAAAAAATATAAACGTCTATATAAAGAAAAATCTCTCTCCATATATAAAATATACACGTCTATAATAAAATACTATCATTCTAATTAAGAGACATTCAAACAATATTAATACACAATTAAAAAGGCAGCGGTACAGAAGCTAAATAGGGCCATGGTATTTTGATTTTGTTACTTTAATTTCAACTAAATGTACGGAAGCTAAATAGGGCCATGGTATTTTATTTTGTTACTTTAATTTCAACTAAATGTACGGAAGCTAAATAGGGCCATGGTATTTTGATTTCGTTACTTTTATTTCAATTAAATGTACGGAAGCTAAGTAGGGCCATGGTATTTTGATTTTGTTACTTTAATTTCAACTAAATCTACGGAAGCTAAATAGGGCCATGGTATTTTGATTTTGTTACTTTTATTTCAATTAAATGTACGGAAGCTAAATAGGGCCATGGTATTTTGATTTTGTCACTTTAATTTCAACTAAATCTACGGAAGCTAAATAGGGCCATGGTATTTTGATTTTGTTACTTTAATTTCAACTAAATCTACGGAAGCTAAATAGGGCCATGGTATTTTGATTTTGTTACTTTAATTTCAACTAAATCTACGGAAGCTAAATAGGGCCATGGTATTTTATTTTGTTACTTTAATTTCAATTAAATGTACGGAAGCTAAATAGGGCCATGGTATTTTGATTTTGTTACTTTAATTTCAACTAAATGTACGGAAGCTAAATAGGGCCATGGTATTTGATTTTGTTACTTTAATTTCAACTAAATGTACGGAAGCTAAATAGGGCCATGGTCTTTTGATTTTGTTACTTTAATTTCAACTAAATGTACGGAAGCTAAATAGGGCCATGGTATTTTGATTTTGTTACTTTTATTTCAATTAAATGTACGGAAGCTAAATAGGGCCATGGTATTTTGATTTTGTTACTTTAATTTCAACTAAATCTACGGAAGCTAAATAGGGCCATGGTATTTTATTTTGTTACTTTAATTTCAATTAAATCTGATTAAAATACAGATCTATATTTCATTTCGTTTTTTATACCTACTTTAGTAAGGATGAATGAGGCTAGGCTTAAAATTCAAAAGCTAATACCTCGGTTCAGCGTGGAGCAAGAACAGTCAACCCTTTGACTAATCTCCCATAATGCCTCTTTAATTTAATAACTAAAAGCACTTGGATGCCCTGTTCAAAATCACTTTGTTCCAAAATTTCAAAATTTTAAACAAAACATTTTTCATGTGATTCAAGTGGTTTTATGTTAATCAACACTCAAAGAACTGAAAATGAAGTTGCTTTGTCCTGATGTTTTTTTTCCGGTTATGCCAATATTGATAAGCGCTAACATAAAAATACATAACAAGGGAAAAATTAACAAAATAGGTGGATAGATTTGAAAAAATGAAATGGAATAAAATGGGGTTTAACGCCCTACTGTTCTGCTCCGAACTGGGCTAATGAAGACGGGCATACGCCTAACAGTGTGCTATGAGGAAAATTTTACCCGGACAGCGGCACTACGGACTACTCTTATATCGAATTCCAACTGTCAAGGGATCTTTTACGTGCACGCCAACACGGGACCTCGGTTTTTCCTCCCATCCGAACGATTAGACAGCTGTTCTTGTCAGCCCCCCCCCCTCCCCGTCCTGCAAGGGGGAGGCACGCCGGAAAGTGAACATTTAAAAACGTTTGTGATTGACCTATGAGCTTCAAAGCATTATGACACTGTTTTATGTGTGTGGAGGAGCCGCGGTGGCTCAGTGAGTAAGATTTTGGCTCGCTAATCTGGTGGTCCCGTGTTCGATCCCGTTGTTGCAAGGACAAAAAAGTTCATCTGGATTTTTCGGCGTGGTTGCCCCTTGTCAGTGTTGCAGAAGGGATGAACTTGCAAGGGACAACGTATAGTCGTTCGGGTTGGACGAAAACCCGCGGTCCAGTGTACACATTGGCGTGCACGTAAAATATCCCTTGTCAGGCGGAATTCGATAAGAGTAGAGCATAATGCCGCTATCCGAGCAAAATGTCCCTCAGAGCAAACTGTATGACGTGTGCAAAGTCTAAGTAGACCAGTTGGAAGTTAAACCCCATTCCATGTCAAGGCTAATTAAATAACGCACACACACTCCTTATATAACAATATAACAAAATATTAGAAATATAAAATAAAATATTTTAAAAGATGGCAAATAGGTGTAAGTCTATTCTTTAATATATTTCTGAATCTGTTTATAAAATATGTTTACCATTCTTATCCTAATCGTCGTCCTCTTCACTGCTGTGCCTGTTCCGCAATTGTCGGAGTCTACGACGTAGGAACCTTTCGAGAAGACGTCGTACGGTGTTACAGCTACGGGTCTGACTGTTTCCACAACGCGCATCTATCACTCCGATCACTGTTTGCATGATGAGACAGTTTCTGGACCGACGATTACTACAACGATCATTGACTTTTCCAATCAGTGCTTGCAAGCGACTCTGTTGTGCGTCTACTACAGTCGGTGTCGTTGGAGAAGTGGCCGGTGAGGTTATAGGGGATTCCTCCACAACTTCAACGATAGCCGGTGTCGTTGGTGAAGTTGTTGGTGAGGTTGTGGGAGATGTCGTCGGAGAGGTTAATGGAGATGTTGTCGGAGAGGTTAACGGAGATGTTGTCGGAGAAGTCGTTGGGGAAGTGGTCGCAGAGGTTGTTGGAGATGTTGTCGGAGAAGTCGTCGGAGAAGTCAACGGAGAAGTTGTCGGAGATGTTGTCGGAGAAGTTGTCAGAGAAGTCAACGGAGAAGTTGTTGGAGATGTTGTCGGAGAAGTTGTCGGAGAGACGGTTGAAGATGTTGTCGGAGAAGTAGTAAGCGACGTAGTTGGAGAAGTTGTAGGCGACGTAGTTGGAGAAGTAGTAGGCGACGTAGTTGGAGAAGTTGTCGGTGAGGTTGTGGGAGAAGTTGTCGGAGAGGTAGAGGGAGACGTTGTCGGAGACGTAGTGGCGGACGTGGTGGGAGACGTTGTCGGTGAGGTTGTGGGAGACGTCGTTGGAGAAGTGGTCGGCGACGTTAACGGCGATGTTGTCTGTGTACAAGTGGCACAGCATTTAGCCGTACTGGTTGATCCATAGAGGCTACATAGACTTGCATCACAGTTGAAATTGGGTTCTTCTAATTGAGGGCAAAGATCTAAAAATAAAAAATATAAAAATAACTCTTCAATTAAAGAGCATACACTTCTATTTTTTGGAGAGAGAGAGAGAGAGAGAGAGATAGAGAGGGAGAGAGAGAGAGTAGGTCATTTCTGGAATAACACATTGTTCAATTTTATTTCAATAATTTGCTTGTGCGTTGGGGTCTTTAGCACGGGGAGTAAATCGGAACACACGGAGAAACCCCACGAGGTTGGACAGGTGACCCTCCTGCTTGTCACGTACAACCGGCGAATCAAAACCACGCAAATTGACTCAATGACAGACCTTATGATACAGAGTGCACGTGCTATGCACCCCCCCCCCCCCCACCCCTGAATTGAGAGACCCGTTATCTACGTAGACATACAGCTAGCTATCGTTGAGATTTTAAGCGACAGTTTCGTACTATAAATACTTACCAGACGGCCTAGATGGAGCTTCTGTATCAGCAACGCATTGACCTTTAACACACCACTAAAATATATAAAAGAACGCAGATATATTGGAGATTTATAAAGAGTCACCCTCATATTAAACTTAGTCTGTCTGTCTACAGTAAAGTTAGCTCCGCCTGAGAACAGACACTAAGCTAGTTGACCGACATTTTAAGTCCTAAATCGACGATTTTAGTTCAAAAAACTAAGTATACTTCGAGAATTTGGTTGAAGATTTATTCTGCTTCCATTTAATGAAATTGAAAAAAGTTTATTTAGTCCTTGTGTGTATGGCAGATGTGAAACGGAGTAGAAACGCATTACAAAACAGTATACTAATTTTTAAATATGGCGGCCATTTAGGGCAGAGATCTATTCTTGAAGTATGAAGTAGAAGAATCTATGTATGCAGAATGGTTTAGACTGGGCCCGGTTCCTAGAAAATTCCCTAAAGTCAGCACAAAATCATGCTTTATTTTTTTCTTACGTTAGAAAATTTATAAAATACTGCCTCTAGAGAATTCTCAAGACCGTTCTTACGTAAGCACAAGTGAAGTACGAGTCTAAGCACATTGTGACTGGTAAACTAAGACTACGATGCTCTCTAACGTCATAAAAACAATTTTGGTATGCGAATTACGTCATAAATTGGTCGGTTGCATAGAGTTATTTATAAATAGATCAATGACATTAACTTCCCGCCAAATAGTCGATTTAGATGCATTTGACATGTCCCCCATACACATATAAATGTGCTACAAGCTAAAAAAACCCAATGCAAGCACATGCAAACAGAAGGAATAATTCTGAGAGCGCCCGATCTTAAAGTAGCCCGTGTTTGTGTTGTTTACTATACTAATTTGTAAATAAATAAAATGGTTTCAGGGTAGAAGCGAAATTTTCTATAGCATTCTTCTCGAGAATATGTTTCTAAAGGAATTTCTCTGTCTTCCAAGTGTCTCTTTGGTATCAAAATAAGTAGGAAATGCCGTGGAATAACTCTATGGTCAGCCATCTTGTTTGAAGCAGAAACAGGCTTAAGGTTGGTAAGCAAGCCGCATACCTTGCTTGGAACATGTGCTTAAATTGACAATGTTTAAGAACGGACTTGTGCTTGAGTTTTTTCTTGGAACACATAATAACGTGCTTGTGCTTACACTGAAGTCTACTTAAAATCAAAGCACAAAAACGTTCTTAAGAATTTTTTGGGAATACAAATTAAGGTAAGTTTACTGTCCACAGTGAACCGATATACCACTTGGGCCACCAACTGAATCGTCACTGTCTACAGTGAACCGTTAAACCGCTTGGGTCCCCGTCGGGACCCGCTTCTGTCGAATCCGTCCCTGTCTACAGTGAAACGTTAGACCGCTTGGGTCACCAACCAAATGCGTCACTGTCTACAATGAACCGTTATACTGTTATTATGGGGAGGGGGAGGCGGGGTGGGGGCTGCTTAGGTCATCAACTGGGTCGTCACTGTTCTACAGTGAACCGTTAAACCGCTTGGGTCCCCGCCGGGATCCGTTTCTGTCGAATCCGTCACTGTCTACAGTGAACCGTTATACCGCTTGGGCCACCAACTGAATCGTCGCTGTCTACAGTGAACCAGAAGACGGTTTGGGTCCCCGCTAGGATCCACCACCCACTTTCTAAAACGAACGGTTACATCACTTGGGCCCCGGCAACTGTCTACAGTAAACTGTCAGTTTCACATCTGGTTGTGAATAACGAATACCAACTTACCTTTCGGTCACCGCATGATGTGAATTCCTCCGCAAATATGCCACTGCAAGTGTTTCCGTTGAGACAAAAGAGTGCGTAGCACATTTCAGCAAAGAAAGGAGAATCCCTTACGTAGACCCCCTGAAAATAAAAACACCCACACGATGAGAAGATGACCGCTGATTATGTATACATACAAAGTCCCCTATCAACTCTAGCCGGGAGGTCGGGTGTTCGATCCCTGCATTGGCCGAGAAAGTTCATCCAGATTTTCCGGCGTGGTTTCCCCTTGTCAGTGATGCAGGACGGAGGGCCTGCTGTCTAGTCGTTTGGATGGGACGAAAAAATGAGGTCCCGTGTACACATTGGCGTGCCCGTAAAAGATCCCTTGGCAGTTGGAAATCGATATAATAGTCCGTAGCGCCGCTGCCCGGGCAAAATTTCCCTCATAGCACACTGTACGGCATATGCCCGTCTTCATTAGCCCAGTTTAGAAGCGGAATAGTAGAATAGTAGGACGTTAAACCCCATTACATCTCCCCTATCAACGTTTGCCTACCGTACATAAAATATAAAATACATGTACAGGCATTTCCATACATAATAAACGCTAGATCTGGTTAAAACACCCATAACTTGTTTTGGAACTTCTGCTCATATTTTAGTCTATATTTCTCTGAGTAAAATGACTAAAATGACGTCACGGATTGTTTATTGACGGAAAGTTACGACTACCCACGGAGAACGGCTGAAATTATTAACGTTGAAATTTACCTGTTGCAGGTAACATTAAAAAGAAAAACAGCCAGGATTCGATTTCTCGATGTTTGAAGGACCAACATTTTGAAAGCCAATAAATCACACAATCGAGCGGATTGAAAAAAATGAATTATCAGGGTTTAGATTTGAAAGCCTGTAGGAAAACAACCCGAGTTACTCACAATCAAATACGCTTTAAATGTCAAACGTACTAACCCGACACATCACAGACGAATCGCCATAATTCCTTTGACACTGGGCGTCTGCATCAAGAAGTTGTCCTGCTTTAATCGTAGTGGTAAGAGCTCCGAGACCATAATTATCATCATCATCACACGTCACACTGAAATTAAAAAAAAGATGTACGTGCGGAATATATTGATTGTGCTATATAAACAAGATGGACGTGCGGAATATATTGATTGTGCTATATAAACAAGATGGACGTGCGGAATATATTGATTGTGCTATATAAACAAGATGGACGTGTGGAATATATTGATTGTGCTATATAAACAAGATGGACGTGCGGAATATACTGATTGTGCTATATAAACAAGATGGACGTGCGGAATATATTGATTGTGCTACATAAACAAGATGGACGTGCGGAATATATTGATTGTGCTATATAAACAAGATGGACGTGCGGAATATATTGATTGTGCTATATAAACAAGATGGACGTGCGGAATATATTGATTGTGCTATATAAACAAGATGGACGTGCGGAATATATTGATTGTGCTATATAAACAAGTTGGACGTGCGGAATATATTGATTGTGCTATATAAACAAGATGGACGTGAGGAATATATTGATTGTGCTTTATTATGAAGAAAGGATTAGGAAACAACGAAAATGAGTTATGTCTACATAGCATTGTTTATTTCCAATTTCAACTGTCATGGGATCTTTTACGTGCACGCCAATGGGAAAACGGGACCTCGATTTTTCGTCCCGTTCGGGCGACTAGCTACTGTTCCTTGCCAGGCCAGTGAACCACGTTGGAAATTCCAAGGAACTTTCTCGGTCTAGATCGTGACAGAACCCGAGACGATCTGGTTAGTGAGCCAGGGCATGGTGGGCCTAACACCATGGCCTTGTGGTTCTAACACGGGTAATTATTTTCGGCCTAGTGGTAATTATTACAGACCTGCATAGTGATCCAGGGCCCTGTGGGACTAACACACGGTAATTATTATAGGCCTGTTTAGTGAACCAGGGCCTTGTGGTACTAACACACGGTAATTATTTCCGGTCTGCTTAATGAACCAGGGCCTTGTGGTACTAACACGCGGTAATTATTACCGGCCTGGTAATAATGGTAATTATTTTGAGTCATGGTTAAGTGGGCAATGCTGGCGTTTACCATTATCATTTTCCCATATGGTGCAAATCAGTAGGAGTTTAAAACCCCATTACACTTCACGATGCCAGCTACGAGAACGTAGCTAAATACGTTGAGATATATTGATGTGCTTGTTTTTAGCTACGATTGGGTGCCTTTAGTTCCAAGTAGGAAACTCAATTTCTTTATTAATGCATGTAACATCTTAAAAATAAGATAATTTTATACTATTATGACTAATTAAACTTACAGAAGCCAATGTAGTGGTACAACTATCGCCTAAGCGTTGTTTTTATCCGACATACACCGCCATACATCTCCCGTTTAAAAATGGCGTTCCTAGTAACGGTTTAATGCCTCGATTTGGGAATATTTCCATTAGCCTGCTTGTACATCACGACTTTAGCTTATCAGACGTAAAACTCAAGTACCGTGTACACATTGGCATGCACGTAAAAGATCCATTGACAATTGGAATTCGATACACGCTTATGCCCGTTTTCATTAGCCCAATCGGAGCAGAACAATAGGGCGTTAAACCACACTTCATTTCATTTAAAGCGAAAATTTCATATTTTTCTAAGAAAGTCAAAACATAATTATTTCTATGCCTTTTGCTCAATGGGTTGTCAACTCGCTATTATATGATCATAGTTATCTTTCTCACACTCAAAAATGTTTCACACCGGAAATAATAACACAATTACCTCCTAATTACCTCCCTTGTTTTTCTATTCCCTACCATGGAATAGCTATCTTCAAACGTTTGAATTTCAGGTTGAAAATGATATTTTTGCCAATTTCCCAACTGGCAATAGTGAATTATAGGATTAATTGGTTTATTCTTTATCAAGGTAGGACTGTTTATACATAGCATCGATTTTAAGGCTTTATTTTAATACATTTTAAAAAAATAACTTAAAAATATGAAATTGTAGCTTTAAACTACATCACTTACGTTTGAAGATAAGCTTTCATGTCTTGTACAGAACAGGCGGAGAACATGAAAGGTTTGGAAGCCTCAGCAACACTATTTGGGAAACTGTATGAAGGACTCATCACGAAGTTTTCATCAACACAAGTAACAGGAGCTTGTCCATCATGGTCAGCATTAAGACTACAATGTGGAAACATGGTCATTAAATACACATTCTCCCGTCAAAAGGCAAAACCTAGTAACTCACTTTTTTCTTATTTTGAGAAAACAAAGGAAAACGGAATGAATGAATATTAAAACCCCAGCTCATCCATTGATTTGACTATTGAGTTACTAGGTTTTGCTGTGGTATACTAGGCAAATGAAGGAAGTTGTTAGGTTGTGTCATGGGTGTAACTGCTTACAAAATCAGTTTGGAATATCTAGTACAACAGGAAGCACATACCCTAGTAACTACAAATTTGGTCCTAACTTAATTTTGATAAAAAAAAAGTGAGTTACTAGGTTTTGCCTTTTGACGGGAGCATTGGTGCGATTAGTGGACTGGTGTGGTCAATGTTCATTGCTTCTCTCTCCATCGCCTAGAAAATGTGGGCGTATTTTGTTTCAACTTATACAAGCTTGGGAGAGAGAGAGAGAGAGAGAGAGAGATGGGTTTAACGTTCACTCGAAACAAACTATGTCATTTCGGGACTAACATATGGTTTAATTTCATTTCAATAATTCACTTGCGCGTAGGGGTCTTTAGCAGTGGGAGGAAGGACCCGGAGAAAACCCACGAGGTTGGACAGGCGACCCTA